GATGTTTTTTACTTAAATAAGGCTTCTTTTATTTAACACTTGCAGATAAACCATGTCTACGTGAAGTTCTTCTTATAGTATTGTCACTTATATTAATTTTATTATTGTTTTTTAATTTTTTTTGAATTTCATATTTACCATTTGAAATAAATCATATAATATTATGCTCATCACGCTCGGTTAAAATTCTAGGATGACCAGATTTTGGTAAATATTTTATGGAACCAGTTGTTTTGGGTTTTTTTAAGATGGATAACAGAAGATGATGCGACATTTTCTTTTGATGCAATATTCTAGGAGGAAAATCCTTCAATAGTAATGCGACCCATATTGATTTAATTATTATTTTTTTAAAATAAATGAAAGATTATATTCGTAGATATAATTTGTATATAGCAGGATTTGTTATGAAATTTGTATATTTTATATGGTCCTACGTTTAAATAGATTATTGATCAAAAGTAACGCATCACCACTTTTGGGAAGAAAATAAATACAAAATTATAATGAATATAACGATAATATATATTGAGTTTAAAGATAATAAGTTTCTCCTTTTTTGAATACATGTAAATAGCATATGAATCTTAAAATATTGCATTTTTTATTTTTTTATTCGTGTGATGCAAAACTTTTGGCAGCCACTGTACATATTATGTACGATCCTGCTTCAATTGACAACAAAAATTATATATAATATGCAACAAAATAACGATCGAATATACATGTAGAAACATTTTTATGAGCAATGATTTATCTCTTGATTTTTGCCCCCAGATTCCGAGCGAAGTTATCAATTTAAGAGCCCATATTGAATCAAATTTATTTACGTTACCATAATTTTGTAAACATTTGGGGTTCCATTTAAACCAAATGTTGTTGTCCTATCAATATTAATAAATAGTTTAAAGTATAATTTTAATTTTTTGCTATTGGATCAGGCTTCGCTTCGAATCCCTGTTTACCTCAAAAGTCAGTAACGGTAAATTACTTTTGTGAGGGCCATATATGTTGATGCATGTACATATGTTTAAGAAAATTGCCATCAATTCTACCTATTTATTGCATTGGCTTTGCGCAAAGCTGCCATAAAAATTGTTGATATAAAGGCTAACTGTTAAGATAATTTTGTAATGTTAATTGAGGAAGCTAAATATATGAGCTTATACATTATAATACTGTCGGCATTACTTCCAAAGAACGTTGATGTAGAATGCTTGTTAGCAATATTTCCTATCTCCACATACGTGTCCCATATCTATCTAACTGTGATTGCAATAAAGAATTTAATCGACTTACCAGCGTCAAGACACACGTTTTCAATTTCATGTATCAAAGAAGAGACATTAACATTTCACATTTTTTTTAAATACTTCATTTTGCTGCCACTTGAAGACGCTTTCTCAAGATTATCGCAAGGTCTAAGGTATCTTTAATTATCCACTTGAAAGATGCACCACTTGAAAAGCTTAGAGAAACTTTTAATTAACTTTTCGCTTTTACTTTCCCCTCTGACTATGGATAGGCGTATTTTCCGACGTTCGTTAAATAATAATTTTTTGAGTACAGAATACGATGACTATCTTAAATTGATGTAGAAGAATTCCTCGAAACGCGTTTTTTATTCGAACGAATCACAAAATAAATGATCAGAGACTAATAAGGATCTTTGTAAGTTAGAAATGATGATTCAATAGCTTACCATGTATTATTGCCTCTATCAAAATGCAGATTTTTTTCTAACATTAGAGTTATCCATAATTTTCATTGTCGTTAATATATTAATTAGTGATTTTGGAGTTTTTTAATTAAAATTGTATTATAATCTCAATATACACGTACATGTACTATTTATTTAATGCGTATTATGATGCGAGCATGCATTAAAGAAATGTGAATGTTTATAGAATAATTATCAATAATATACATTTAGAGGAGTATATATATAATTGTCAATATGCTAAAAATAATAAAATTAAACTTTTTCTCTTATTAGAATTATAAGTTGCGAACGACAAAGGTGAAATTTTACTATTAAAAATGTCTTAATTTAATTATGAATGTTGAATATCCAATCGTGGACTAACCCATATTTCCCAATCTTTTTTATTCCTTTCATCGCCATATAATTCCAAGACTGACACCACTAGTCGGTGTGATCCGTTTGGAACGTCAATATCACGTTTACCATCGACAGTATCCACTTTACCTTCCCAGATAAAAGTATAGTTACTCAAGGGCCCGGCATCTTGATTTCGTGAAGCGTAATAACTTACACCCTCTGTTGCTATTTTACCTAATGAGTCCGGAACTAAATTACTGTTGATTTGAATATCTGATTGCGTTAAATTTGTCTGCCCCATATCTGTCTGCTCGTTGGTAACTTGATCCTCCTGAGGAATTCGTCTATATAATCTACCAAGTGATCTTTTAGATTTTTCGGCTGACGAAATGCGATTATTTAGCTCGCCAACATTTGATTGAACTTTGGTGTCCGCAGGAACTACATCTATAGCAAAAATACGAGTGCACGAACAAGTAATGTTGGACAATCATCACCTTGTAAAGTAAAAGTCACAATTTGACTATTATTTTGATATATTTCGGCGTCCTCTGTTAGAATGAGTGGTGCACCAACTGCGGTATCAAGGATTGGAAGTGTTTTATAGATTCCTTTCATTCCCATATACGGAACACTATATGATTTATTACCGGCTTTATCTGAGATGATAAATCCCGAGAAAATAAAATATGAATCGTTATCTAAATCAGCTGGAGGCTTGATTGTAATTTTAATATTCTTTGATTGTCCAGGTCCAAGCACAATCGACGATTCTGAGATATTTGCCTCTGCAAATGAGTCTTGATATACTGGTATTCCTCGTGGCACGAATGATTCCGTGAAATTATATCCACTTACTGCTTGCGCTCCAACATGTGTAACTGTTAATTTCACAATATCTTTTCCAGAATTTTTAACATTTAATGTGTTTAAAGCTTTATAATTCGCGGTATCATTTAATGGTAGCTTAGGAGGTGAGATGCTGATAGTTGAAGATAATGCATCCAATAAATTAACTAGTCCAGCACCTTGTCCGGTAATCGATGTTTGCGTTGCTGTTTGATTTGAAGTAGCCAATACTTCAATTGAATGCGCAGTATTCATAAGCAATTTTTTTGTTTCATCTGCACTCAATTTACCCTTTGCCTCGAAAAGAATAGCCACACAACCTGTTATATACGGGGCTGCAAAACTTGTACCAGATGATATTTTATAAGAACCAAGTTTAATGGGATATGTGCTAAAAATTGCACCACCCGGCGCAGCAATTTCAGGCTTAATATCTAACTCATATGAAGGGCCCAACGAGCTAAAGTTGATATTTTCCCACTTGTTGGATTCGTAAATGGCAGCGTTTCATTATAAAAAGTAACCGCAACATTCTTGCTCTTATATATATGATCGAATATCAATTCACCATCCTCTGCTTTAATTAAGGCGAATGGAATTTTTAACTCTGGCGCATCTATAAATCGCGTGATAATAGTGGGAATTTCATTATCATATATTATGACTCCGATTGCATCAGCTGCTTGAGCATTAGCCACTTTTTGTGCGAAAGTACAGGTTCCACGACGAATTAATGCTATTTTTCCGATTAACGACTTTGCTGGTAGATCTTCGCACGCGTCATCGGTCACCTTAGTATTATCACTTGTGGCTACGATTTCAGGATTTCCGCTAATGTTAAACTGTGTAGTCGTATATGTAAATTTTTTGTCAGGTGAGGAACTGATTGTTAAATAATATGATTGGACTTTTGAATTATCAACTGAAGTAACTCCGGGAGATGAAGTTTGGAAAATTCCTTGACCATCATTACCACTTGCGATTATTACAACTAACCTTTTAGATATTAGTTTTTCAGCGGCCACGGATACGAGACTTTCTGACCAGCCATATTCTTCAAGTGAAAGATTGATGATAACCATCCCATCGTTATATGCTCGTTCCATTGCTTTAATAGTTAAATCAATGTTTGTTGTACCATTGCACCCAAAAATTCTGTATATACCCAAAGTTACTAAAATTATGATAGCGATAATTAATATGTGACATGCAAATGTAATCCATTAAATTTATGCAGATAAAAAATACTTACCACCGGGCGCAACGCCAGTAAAGTTTTTGATTTTATCATCAGCAGCAATAATTCCAGCAACATGCGTTCCATGTCCGTTATATTGATCCAATGGATCATCATCACTTTGTGGAGTATTAGTACCATTAAACGCGTCACCGACAAAATCATATCCAAATTGAATTTTACATCCTTTCGTCTTATAACAGTTACCGAATGCGGGATGTGTATAATCAATTCCAGTATCAATTATTCCAACCTGATATTATTTTTGATAAATTAATTAAATTGTATCTCTGTCGGATTAAATGGGTGATGCTCTTACTTTGATGTTTTTTCCAGTGTAATTTGTTTGTGCTCGAACTTCGGCAACCCCGGTCAATTCATCAGCAGAAATTGGATTTGTAGTATCAATTTGGTTACCTGCAGAAATTGGATTTGTAATTTGGTTATCCGCAGCTTTCGGTCGTTCTACTATCGACTATTTTTAAATTGATTGATTAAGTACTTTAACTTATCTCAAGTTGCATTATGCATGTACTTACCACAGGCCGAATATTTCTTACGATGTCTAAACTGTTCAACTTATCCAAATCGTGCTGACCATTAACAGTGATCGAAACAATGTCAAGCAGTTCAAAAGAACTCCTTAGTTTGAAATCTATGCCTGACGATTTAATATATTGCAAGAAATTTTGTGCATTCGAAGAAACTTCTTGACCATCAGTTTCATAAAATTTGTCGAGATTGGCAATTTTTAGATTCGGTCTCTTTGGCAGTGCTAATTTATCATATTCGATAAAGTAAGTTTGCGGGAGGTGAGAGGAAAGATCACGCGTGCTTGTTTTTATTTTTGCTGTCAATACTATTGATGGCAGAAGTGTAATAATATGGTGAAAATTAATGATAATGACGACGACATTTGCCAGGAATGTTTTTGCATTTCGGATGAGTATGTTTATAATATAACTGATATTTTTTGCTTTATAAGATTTATAGGAATAATGAATTTAATGCAAATTAAGCTCTTCGAGAGGTGCCTCTTATATAGAGATAATTCTTTGTATGGTTTTAGTATATTTTCATTGTGATATACTTATAAAACATAAAGGGTTGAACGATATTATTGTTCAAAAAAGTAAATTAAGAATGTTAAGGTCATTATTTATAAACGAAAACACGGAAAGTACAAAAGCGCGTCGCAATGCTACGATCAACTTTTGCCGCTATTAATAGTAACGGCCATCAATGCTATTGTTATATGATCTACTTGCACATTGATGACACCTAAAATGATATAGCGGCGCAAAAAATTTAATCCATATTATCGGAGTAAACATGATTTCCGTTTTTATCTTAGGTTAATTGCTTAATAAATGGTAATAATGCCTATACGATTAGCATGTTTCGAACAGAATAATTACAGGCAAATTATATTATATAATAAATCAATACTATTACAATCAATTCACAGGCTTCTTTTTGTTTTTGGCTGTGCCAAATATTTTTTGGGAAAGATTAAAAACTATCTATAGAATTGGCCTTTATTTATTATAAGAAAATAATATAACAAATTACAGTTTTATAATTAATCTGAAAGTATATTACATTTCCTATAATTATTACACCACGCAAATCTTAATTTTCGGAATAAAAAATTTTACAGATTATTCGTAAATTTAAGTTAACTTAAAACTCATCTTTTTAGTGTATAATATAACAAAAGATTATTATTTATATGAAAATATAACGATTTAATGTATTCTATAATAAAAGACAAACCAGAAAATAAATGCTATATTTCATATGTTTTGTATGAAAAAAATTCCACTTGACTATGAACTCGTTTTTCTATAAAAGATACTTTAGTTGTAAAAATTCCGTTTCGTGAAAAAATTCATATTCAACTTTGTTAAGAATTATAATGTAAAGAAAAACAGAAAATCCAATGCAATACCAAAATCTGGCCGTTCATGTATCCTTTTAGAATTTTATGCTAAACTTATTAATTGCCAATAAAAAATATTAAATATACCGCAAATTTAATTCGATGTCCATTAAAAGATAAGATTATGTTTTTCGAGCAAAAAATGGAAATACCATTATTGCTTACAGCTCTGGCGGAATGTAATGGCGAATAATAATTAAATCAATATTAAAAAACTCACAGAAAATATTTATTCCTTTGAAATCTTTATTATAAGATTGATTAATTGAACAATATTATTTAATACACTTAGATATTTACATATGTATAAAATTGGAATAATTACAAAAAATGCTAAATATTTCAAAATACATTAAGCAATCTTTCTTGAATCGTAATTAAGAATAATATCCTTTTAAGCATATGATAATAATTGAGCATGTTGGTATAATATAAGAAGAACTTCACGTAGACATGGTTTATCTGCAAGTGTTAAATAAAAGAAGCCTTATTTAAGTAAAAAACATC